TGGGGCTGAGGGACTCCCTAGTTTGGAGCTGAATAACTCCACAATGTGGGGCTGAGGGACTCCCCAGTGTGGGGCTGAAAGGACCCTCTGATGTGGGGCTGAGGGACTCCCCAATGTGGGGCTGAGGGACTCCCCAGTGTGGGGCTGAAAGGACCCTCTGATGTGGGGCTGAGGGACTCCCCAATGTGGGGCTGAGGGACTCCCCAATGTGGGTCTGAGGGAGGGAAGCAAGGGCAGGGGGGATCCCCGAGGCAAAAGAGTTCAGGACTTCGGTGATGCTGAACATCCCGGGGTCGCAGCGGCTGCCCCTGCCCCAAGGAATCCTCGGCTCTGTGCCCTCTGCTTGCCTCTGGCCGGGACAGGAGAAGGGAAGAGACAAGGGAGAGCCACGAGCATCCATCTGGAGAGCAGCTTGCTGTGGAGGGAGAGCGGTGGGGGAAATGTCTCACGCTCTGGTGCCAAAGCAAGGAGGGGGGTTTGCCTGTGGTTGATTGTTCTGGGGCTTGAAAATGAAATGTTCCCCCGTGAGGGTTGGTAAATGGGGAAACCTCTGCCAAGAAGGGGAAAGAAGAAGGGGCAAGGAAAGAGAGGTGGTCCACCCCCTTCACCCTTCCAAAAAAAACCACCGCACATGGAGAAAACCACACCATGTATTCTCAGACCGGGGAGAAAAGAGGAGTAGAAAACCTTGGGAGAAAGCTATCCATAATCATGGGGATTTTTCTGCCGTCAGCTGGGGAAAGCCGGCTATACTCGGTTCTGTACGGAGGCAGTTTCCAGATCTGTGCTTTCCAAAGGCTGGTGCATAAAGAGGAAACAGATGGGATCTATTCCCAGTGTGGAAAGTCTGTGGACTGAAACCTAAAGATCAGTTACCAGTGCCTTGTATTGTGCTCAGCTCCGGCTTTGAAGGCTGGAAATAGAAACGGTTGTTAGTGGCAATTCTTTAGGAACCTTTTTAAACTGATGCCACAGGAGGAGACAAATGAAGCTGTGAAAATCTGCACAGCACACCGGGGAGATTTTCTGCCATTGAGCCGGTAATTGTAATGAGAGGTGTTACTCAGTCGCAGAAATAAATAAATAAAGAGAGAAAAGAACCGGGTTTTACAACTGCATGGTCTGTTTCTATCCAGTTCTCATCTGCCCTCTGCGTTTGTGGACGATAGGGACAACACAATGATAGCTGCAGAGGACAAAGCTCTCCTATTCACACATGCTCGCCCTGCCACCTTTGGAAAGTCTCTGGAATACAGCAGCACATTCATAGGATGTGGTAGAGAGCAGAGAGGCAAGTCCCTTCTACCTATTTAGGACGTGTTTTGTTGGGTTATTTTTAAACAGGCTTGTGAAATCCAAAGTCATGATAGTGGGAATAAAGTTTTAGACATGAAGTAGATTATTTGAAAGCATTATTTGAAGTATAGGTATGAAATGATGTTGAAGTGGAATTCCTTCCCAACCCCTTCTCTCTCTGCTTGTCCCTATACCCCCGATTCCCCAGTTTCTGAAGCTCATGTTCATGGCTGAAATTAATAAGCAAACAAAAAAAACAACAAAACAAAACAAAACAAAACCAAAACCTTTTGAGAGGAATCTTTTTATAGAGTCAGCTCTTGCCAGGTTGTGGCTCTTTGGTTTAGTATAGATCTTTGGATGACCACTGAATGAAGCATCCCCTGGCTTTGTTTGTGGTGAAATCAATGCAGGCTCCCTCCTCTAGGCAAAAACCAAGGTCCACCTCAAAATCTAGGGAGCAGAGGATTATGTTGTGAGAAAAGAGTTTCCCAAAGGCTTAAATGAAACATTTTAAAATATTATAAGCTAAACTGAAATAGTTTTTTCTTGAATGATGGTGGAATCTGAGGTAAGTGCAAATATGCAAAAGTATTCTTCAGGTAAGGTACTGTATTTTTAGTTCACTCTCCAGTCACCAGAGAAACTTAAAATGTGACAAGACTATAAAACAGGCAAAAGCAGAATGTTTTCATCCTTTACAGCCAAGGGCTCTACTGGTCAGATGGTTCCAGAGGTGGGAAACTTGATGTATTTGAGTAAAGCTGCTCTTGTGCCAACAGTTATGAAAGTATTCAAAGTTAAAAACAAACAAACAAACAAACAAAAAACTAAATTAAAAAGCACATGAAAACTCATGTAAAAGGGAATATTTTCTTGGTTTGTCATTAGCAGGAGAGACTCTCCTCTGAAGGCATGATTTCTGCAACTATATATTAGTCAAATGACTGGTTTGCATTCTATGTAGCATGAAGATAAAACCCATTGCTGTGAAAAATCCAACAGCTGTTTTTCAGCTATTTTAAGCACAGAGCTTTAGATCTTTTTGAGGAAAGTAAGACCATTTCAGAAATGAGAACATATTGCTAATCATGACAAAATATAATGTTTTTCTGCCACTGTGTAGGTCAGTATCAAAGAGTTCTTATTTATGAGATTTTCCTGCTATTTTCCAAAAGACTCATATTCCCCTTTGAGGTTTCCTGTTCCTGTTTGGCTTTTTAATTTATTTTTTTTTTTCCTAGAAGCAACATATGCTTGGAAAATTAGATTAATGTAATCTTTATATCTGTCTAAATGCCACAAAATGGGCACTGTGTGTCTTCTTAGTGACCCTCCACAGTATGAAACCCATCAATAGGAGGTGCATTAGATGGAGAAAATAGTCAAAAGGGGATTGCCTTGGAACATTGGCTGATAACCACAAAATGAACTTTCAGACTATAGCTAGACTATATTATTCAAGAGAAAAAAGATAATTTACAGAGCTTCTATGCGGAAACAAACATCCTAAGGCCTTAAAACATTAAATATAAGACTTCATCCCTTGCTCCTGCTGAATCAGACCTGATTTCTGACTCATCTTAAAGGAAGAAGTTACTAACTTGATGTAACAAAGTTACATATCATGCTCTGGTCTCTTCCTCTTCCTACTGATACTTTTATTAAACCTGACGCATTTAAAGAGCTGGCTCTTGACAAGACCTCTGAAAAACAAATCAGCAAAGTTGTGTTTGCCAAGACAGGGCATAGCCAGACTCTTACAAGTTGTGTCACCAGGAAGAACAAATTTGTCTTGCTGCTACACTCTTTTCTTCCAGTGCAAATGAAATACTTTAGAAAATTCAACTGTTTATTCTTCTGTCTTTTCTTTTTCTCTTTTTTTGCCCCATGGTTTGATGGGAATAGATATAGTTGGTATAATTTCTAGGTTCAAGTTTATTTTCAGTGATTTTGGAGGTACAATATTTTTGATTTCAAATGTTCATTTAGGAATTCAAATTTCATTTGAACAAACTTAGAAAGTAGCCCTGCTTCTCCAGTGCTGAGTTTGCAGAAGATGGTAAGTAAAATACAACTAAAATTTATTGTTATGTCATCTTAAGTGCTTAACTAAATCCCTGATGACAACATGATTATTTTAAGGATTTCAAAAGCCTTGCTTTGACTTGGAACATGAAAAGAAAAACTTCTAAGCACTGTCTTTTTACATTTCTTCACAGAATACTTAGATTCCAATCAAATGAAGTATTTGAAGTGAGTTCTTTTAATTGATCCTTTCTTTCTCTTACAGAGAGAAAATATTTTTGCTTATGGATTTCCCACAGTCTTACTATAAAAAATCAAGAAAGGCAATGTAGGCTCACCCTTTTAACACTGGAGTTATGTAAAATGTGGATAGTAAATGACAATGGAGTTTTGCCCCTCAGCTCGCAATGTTGAGCTAAAGAAGATGTTCTCATGGTAATTTTCCATGAGCAGAAATATTTTTTTTAATAAAGTAAGCTCTTGAAAACTGTTCTTTCTGCTATTTCCATCTTTGTTGAGTGAAGAGATGGAATCGTTTTCCTTCAAATAGGAGATATACATGTTTTTAACTTGCTCTCTAAACCCCTATCACATGAAAGCTGGCACTGTTGTCACTTTAAGCTGAAATCCATGTATGATGCTGAATGGGCCTTCTTAGCATCATATTAAATAGGCTGTGATGTTTTACTCCTTCATAATTTGTCTTTTATAATCAATTCTATTGACTGCAATCTCAAAGCCCTTTCAAGAAATAAAATTAACTGCTTGCCATGTCTCATATTAATCACAAGGACCAACAAAAAAGTCATTCCATCCTTTTTAACATGGTGCTTTTTTCATCATCTTTTGTGAGGTTTTACAATAGAAATGATAATGTTGGCCTGTGCCCACAATGAATGACAGAAGGAGATATTGGCTGCACCTAGCTGGGGCACTTTCTATGGTTAATGAGATTGGATAGAGAACATTCCATTTAGACTCCATATTAGGAATATTTCGTCTAATCTAGGCTTGGATTAGATATCAGGAAGAAATTGTTCCCTGTGAGGGTGGTGAGGCACAGGGTGCCCAGAGCAGCTGTGGCTGCCCCTGGATCCCTGGCAGTGTCCAAGGCCAGGCTGGACAGAGTTGGAGCAGCTGGGACAGTGGGAGGTGTCCCTGGCCATGGCAGGGGTGGCTCTGGATGAGCTTTAAGGTCCCTT